TGAAGAAATAGCTGATCATACTTTCCTTAGGTTCTTAAGGAATAGGAGCCTTAACCCCTAGAATGCTTAAAGAATGTATCACTTTTTTTAAGTTGCTGGAAGCATTTTCATACTTTACCTTTCCAAAAGACTCAAAACTGCATTTCTACTTTTCATCTATAATAGAGAATCGTGCTCCCCAAACATCATGTGCTCATTGGTTTCACTCAACTCTTTTTCAGGGTCCATTTATTTACATCTTGCAAAATAAAACTTTGGAGACACCTGTTTGGGAAAATGTGGGCTTAGAATATTGACTTGCTTTTTTTCCCCCTTTATTTCAAATACATACCAAGCCTGTGCTGCTATGAGATTCTTCGGGGTGCTATGGAGACTGCCATCAATACTGAGAACCCTGGTCCAGTGGAACCTAATCTACGGACATAGGACTCCAGCACACGGCAGTTGAGAGCATCTGCATGAAGTCATTTGGGCCCAAACCTGGACCCAGAACAGCCCATCTCTCATTAGCAATTGGACTTTAGAAGAAAAAAAAATCATAAGATGTGTTTGAGGCTTGGTTTAGAGACTTCATCTGTGAAATGGAGCTGAGAAGTAATTACTATCACATGTAATTTTTAGATTCTTTTGAACATTTTCATATTACTAATATTTTGGGAGGGCTTGATGTGTGTATATGATCCAGACCCATCCTCCTTTCTTGCTACCTTTGCCTCTTGGCCCCCAGACTCATTTTACCCCAGCCCCACTGCCATTCTTTTTCGGGCCTTAAATAAAGCAAACTCATTTCCACTTGAGATTCCTGGCATATGCTGTTTCTTCTGATGAGAGGTGCTTTGCTACTTTTCTGCTTTTCTTTTGCTCACTCTTTCTTATCCTTGGATTTCAGCTCACACACATTCCCTTAGAATTTTTTTGACCGTTCACGGTGACCATATACATTCACTATGACCTTTCTCTTACTGAATTCTTAGTACTTATCATTAATAACAGTTTTCTAGTTTGCTTTTTTAAAAATTCATTTTTCCTCATCAGAACTTGTTGTGGGTTGTGACCCCTGGACTCAGGACAGTATCCATCAGAAGAAAGAGCTCATTGATACGTATTTGTTGACTAAATGAACCAAAGAAAATCAAAAGGCGCGAAAAGGGCGTCGACTGGCGATGGTACAGATTAAAAACTCATCAGCATTAGCAATTTGGTTTTATACAGTTGTTACTTATAACATTTACATTTCACAAGAGGGGATGTGTGTTTATATTTGCATAATAAAACTCGGCAAAAAACGTAATTGGTCTCGAACAATAGTCCCATATCAAAGGTGAGCTCAGATTCCAATTATGCAAAATAGAAAATCTCTCTTCCCCACCCACAAGGTTTACAAAAAATTCTTAGGTGGTTTTCCCCCTGGCGAACTGTGACATCTATTAAAAAGACAGAAGGTTACGGTTACTTGAGCGTGTTGCAGACCTGTGCTTCAGAGGGGAAAGTTGTTTCCACCTGGAGCACTTGTAAATGTTGGATTGGCCTCTGATGGACAGGTAAGATAAAATGGGTAAATAGGCAGAGGGGTGGGCTGGGAAGGAAGCCTTACAGGTGGATGGAGTCCCGAGTATTTTCCATCAGAGCCATCAAAACCATCCCAAATAAACCTTTAAGCTAAACAAGAGAGCTGGACCTGCTCTATAAATGCACTGGCCTCAAACCTATCCACAAGCTCCTGTTTTGGAATTGTTACTGGATCCAGATGTGGAGGGAAGACCATAACATGGATTCAATTGCCTCCTCTTAAAGGAGTGGTGGTAAATAAGGTGGAATGAGGAGAGAGTGCCGGGGCCCGGCCTGTACCTTTAAGATCTCTAAGTAGGAGAGGTGTGGGTGTGTGTAGGGGGTGGGGGACGGTCATTGAATGACCTTACCAAGAAAATTATTTGAAAGGAAAGACCAGAGTGAAGGCTGTTAATAGTTCAGGCAAGAAAAGCAACACAGGCTCCAGAATCAGGGAAGAAATATAAGAAGAATAATTTTTTTCCTAGATATTTGATATTTATTTATGCTAATATACTTGAAATTTAATTTTCTAGCTTTTACAGAAGAATAATTTTTTTAAAAAAAGAAATATGAACAAGGGTTGTACAGATTAGAGGTGCCCAGTCGGGTTGTGTGTGTCCCGGGGCCACAACTTATGCTGGGTGGGGTGGGGGTTCATGGGGTTTGTTCTAATGGTTTTGGCCCATAGTATACAAATATTCGGTGCCACTTCAAAATAATAGCCCCTGGTGTCTACTGGCCATATCATGAAAGAGAAATAATGAAGGCACTGTATCTTTTAAAAAAAATCCCCTTTTGTAGCACTTCCTTAAAAACAGCTACTTAATGCAACTCTGTCAGAGAGCTCCTGACAGTTCTGTCCTAACGATTCTGACATTAATGAAAGAACTTGGTAAAGGGCTGAAGTGTCTTCCTGGTAAGTGGTTTAGTTTATGCTTTTCAAAACTCCTTGTAATAACAAATAATTTTCTTTATTTGACCTAATGAGTGTTTCTCATTGATTGCCTGTTCTGGTACTAGACATATTAATCGATTGAAGTGATCGATAATGTTTTCAAGCTTTTTTTCTTCCATTTGGGTTTGCTACTTTAAAGAGTCATGATTGTTTGGGGAGATATTTTAGTCAAAGGGAGTAGTTTCATATAAGTATTTAATTCGAAGTACAGCACTCACCTAGATAGGTATTTCCTTTGGTGCTTATGAGTCATAATTAATTGAAAGTTATTGATATGGCCTTTAAAAAATACCTGTACTGGTAATAGCCATTAGAAATCATAGTTCAAGTTATTTATGGATTTTTTTTTAAGTTTTTGCTAAATTTTTCAACATCTTCCACATTGAGAAGCTGTATTTTTTCCCAACCTTATTGAGATATAATTGATGTATAACACTGTGTAAGGTGTACAATATGATGATGATTTGACACCCATGTAAACTGGGAAAGGATTACCACCATAAGATTAGTTAACACATTCATCACCTCCCATAGTTATCTTTCTTAAAAGGTTTTTCTTCTCACGTTAGTTGCTCAGTCGTGTCCTACTCCTTGCGACCCACCAGGCTTCTCAGTCCATGGAATTCTCCAGGCAGGAGTGCTGGAGTGTGTTGCCATTCTCTCTTCCAGGGGATCTTCTCAACCAATCCAGGGACTGAACCTGGGTTTCCTGCATTGGCAGGCGGATTCTTTATGGCTGAGCTATTTTAAATGACATAGTGATTTCAAAGAGCAGAACAGAATTTTGATGTTTGACATATTATATTGATATGTTATGGATATGTTTAGCAATAGTATTAGAGTGTATCATCTTATGCAAGGTTAAATATTAAAGAAAAAGCTCATTGTGTGTGTAGGATAAATTCTAAAAACTTGTATAAACAGTGTGGTTTGGTGTGCTAAATTGAAATGGTAAGCAATGTAGATCCACCACCGGCTCTTTCTTATGTGGATTTGTTTGTTTTGTGTGGTTATTAGAACCGAAAGTTTTAAAACATTTAATGTGGGTCAGTATGGTAACTATTTAAAACAAAACTTACTTTATAGAGATAAGAAAGTAGATGTAAAATTATAGACCAGGATTCTTATCTTAACGTAGGATTTTTAGAAAGTCTACAGGTGGGTTTCATAGAGTACATTTTATTTGTAAATTCACATTTTGTGAGAGAAAAAAACACGCCTTTCATCATATTTTCAGAAGTCTATATGACGCCAGAAAGTTAAAAAACAAAATCACTGTTATAAATGGACAGCCTTGCTAAGGTTAAAAAGATTTTCATTTCCAGGACTTTTTAATACTTACAGGAATTTTGAAATACTTGACATACTTAAATATACTCAAATTATTTCTGTATTCTCATGTTAAGTGGTTTGCATGCTTAATTCTGTTTAGCTATTTTTTCTATTTTTTTAATCTCTTTTTCTAATTGAAGTATATTTACTTTACAGTGTGTTAGTTTCAAGTGTATAGCAAAGTGATTCAGTGATACATATTTAGCTATTTTAACATTTAAGAAATTTGGAGGACTTCCCTGGTGATCCAGTGGTTAATGCAGAGGGCCCGGGTTCAATCCCTGGTCAGGGAACTGGATCCCACATGCTGCAACTAAGACCCAGTGCAGCCAAATAAATAATAAATAAATAAATATTTTTTAAAAGAAATTTTATAATGATAGAAAAGCAAACATAAATCTTCATAGGAAATTTTTGTAGAAAGGAAATTTGTACTCATCAAAATTCAGGTGGTACTTTCGATTTATATAAGGTATATGCAGAAAATATTTTAAGTAAAGTCTTTTTTAATTCAGAGGCAAATTAAATAGAAACACTAATTTTGTTTTATATATATTAATTTCTTTCAGAATTGTCAATTTTTTAATGAAGCATGGTAAGTTGACATTTAAAAATCATCTTTACTTTTCCTCATTAGATTAATAAGGGTATGAGATGGTTGCAATATGGTTTAATTTTAGGTCTTGGAGACATGCTTTTGAAATTAAAAACATTTCATTTTTTAAATAATGAGCCCAATTCTGTTTGATAAAACATGCTTCCTCGATCTTTTTTTCTAAATCAGTCTTCTGCTATATAACTGACTCCTTGCTAAAAATTTATAAGACATTAAATACCATACTGTAGAATGAGCACTGGTTTTAGACACTATATTGTAGCGCAGTGGATCTCAACCAGGCTTGATGTTGTCCTCCAGGGCATATTTGGCTATGTTTGAGATATTTTTGGTTGTCACCAGTGGGATTGACACTGGTATCTAGTGGGTAAAGACCAGGGATGCTGTTTTGCACCCAACAATGCATAGGACAACCCCCTACAAAAGAGACAGTCAACCAGAAATGCTAATAGGTTGTGCTGTGGTTGAGAAGCCCTCTTTTACATAGGCAAAATTAAGTTCAATTGGTAATTTCCTAACTCCAGAGTTCGGCCATTGTTCTAACAGGCTTGTGTTGAACAAGACAAGCTGGGTCAAGCATTTGAAGATGCTTTTGAAGTACTGAGGCAGCATTCAACTGGAGACTTTCAGTACTCCCCAGGTAAAGATGTCAGTCCCCTTCTGCGTGTACATCAAATGGCTTGTTGGTCACATACACACACATGAGAATAATAACCTGAACAGAAAAGATCATTTTTACCCAGTGCATCTAGGATCAGTTCTAAAGGCAGAAATCAAACAGGATTATCCACCTTAAACAATTTTTGTTAGTTTTGTATTTTATTACTGAAACATAACTGAGTTATAATATTAATTTCAGGTGTACAACATTGTGATTCACTCCATTATAAATTATTCTAAGATAATAGCTATAATTCTCTGTGCTGTACAACATATCTTTGTTGCTTATCTTTCTCATACATTGTAGTGTGTTTATCCCATACCACTGAATTGTCCTTCCTGGCTTCCCTGTCCCCTTACATAGCCACACGTTTGTTTTCTATGTGTGAGAATATCTTTCTGTTTTGTCTGTATTATTTTTTAGATTATTACTTTGTATTATTTTTTAGATATCACATATAAGTGATATCATCTAGCACTTGTCTCTGTCTGACTTACTTCACTAAGCATAATGTTCTCTAGATATACACTTGTTGCAAATTGCAGAATTTCATAGTTTATGATTTACTAACATTCCATGTATGTATATGCCACATACATTTGTCTCTTGATGGGCACTTAGATTGTTTCCCTGTCTTTACTATTGTAAACAGTGCTGCTCTGAACATTGGAATGCATGTATCTTTTTGAATTTAGAGTTTTCATTTCCTTCAGATATAGATCTAGGAGTGGAATTGCTGAATCTTATGCTAGTTATTTTTTTGAGAATCCTCTATCCTGTTTTTTTGAGAATCCCTATCCTGAATAGGGGCTGTACAGATTTGTATTCCCACTAACAGTGTACAAGGGTTCCTTTTTTCCCACATTCTCTCCAGAATTTATTGTTTGTAGACTTTTTGATGATGGTCCTTTTGACCTGCATGAGATGATATCTCACTGTTGTTTTCATTTGCTTTTCTCTAATAATTAGCACTGTTGAGAATCTTTTCATGTGCCTACTGGCCATCTCTGTGTTCTTTGGTGAAATGTCAGTTCAGGTCTTCTGCCCATTTTTTAATCTTTTTTTTATACTGAGCTCTTTATATATTTTGGAGAGTAACCTCTTGTGAGTCACATCATTTGCAAATGTTTTCTCATGTTTTGTAGGTTGTCTTTGTTTTGTTGATGGTTTCCTTTGCTGTACAAAAAGTTTTTAAGTTTAATTAGATCCCATTTGTTTGTGTGTGTGCATGCTAAGTATCTTCAGTTGTGTCCGACTCTTTGTGACCCTATGGACTGTAGCCCACCAGGCTCCTCTGTCCATGGGATTCTCCAGTCAAGAATATTGGAGTAGGTTGCCATGCTCTCCTCCAGGGGATCTTTCTGACCCAGGGGTGGAACCCACATCTCTTATGACTCCTGCATTGGCGGGTGGGCTCTTTACCACTAGAACAATCTGGGAAGCCCCCCCCCCCCCCATTTGTTTGTTCTTTGCTTTTACTTCTTTTACATTAGGAGACAGATCTGCCTATTCTCTATCCTAAATAAATTTAGTGTCTCACATATAAAAGTGCCACAATCAATCACCTAAGCATTAATTATCACACACACACACAAATATAAAATTTGACCTTGTCAGTTTCTTTCTCTGTTTTTAAATTAGATTACAAAAATTACCTGGCTTTTATCAACCACCGTTCTCATATCAGAGGAAATCCCAACAGCTATGGTGTGCAGCCTGCAGAGGAACCCATCTATAATTGGAGAACGGTAATAGTGAGTACTTTTACCCGGAGACTGTCATCCCTCAGTAACGAGCACATTTCCTATTTACACCAGCCTTCCCTTGGTGTGTGCTAGCTGAAACCAGCTTAAAGACAGCACTGACTGACATGCTCACTTGGGGCCACCTGTGGTGTGAATTTGGCAGGCAAGTTGGCGGATCACCAGTGCTGTCAAGAAGGAAACTCCCCTTTATCATTGCTCTTCATCTGATTTCAGACAGGTCTGAATGATTCTCTAACGAGGAGGTATTTTAGGGTTCTCATGTCAGTGCTTCTCCTCAGTCCATCCAGAAAACTGCAGAAAAGCTATGGTTCCCCTAAAAACATTCCCTGAACTGGCTTTACCTACAATCCGTATTAACCTGCTTTGTTTCCCCTCCCAAGCTCAGGGCTAGCTATGTATATTGGACCAATTCATTTCTATTTTAGCACCTTCTGCAAATGGAAGGGTCCCTACCACCTCTCCTTCTGTGTATTCTTTTGCATTGTTTTCTTTTTTTAAAAAAATTATTTTTATTTAATTTTTTTGGCCACGTCATGGCATGTGAGGTCTTATTTCCCCAACCAGGGGCTGAATCCATGCCCCCTGCTATGGAAGTGTGGAGTTCTAACCACTTGACTGCCAGGGAATTCTCTGCATTGTTTTCTTGCTGAATCCATTTTATCAAACAGTCTTAATATAGTAGAGTATAAATATAAAGTAGCCTTCATTTTTTTTTCAGTCGTTAACTCCAATCATGCTATGTCAAATGTCCCTGTAAACTGTACTGTCAGGGTCTCTCCAACAAGACATTTCTTTTAAGAGGGAGTTTTGGTTTCACTTTAACCTCTCTCACGTCTCCTTAGGGTTACCAGGTAAATTATAGGATGCTTAATATTTTTAGTTGCTAGGGCAACTGTACTTCCTCTTCAGATTCTACCCCCAGCATGCACTGCACAGCCTCTTGGGGTTGGGGACTCATTGCCTGCTGTATAGGGATGGCTCAAGTCTCGCCCCTTCTGCCCTATCTTTTTGCCATGTGTAATGGTGGACGTTCAGGCCCTTCCCTCCTGCCTCCTCTCTTAGCTCTGCCATCCTGCAACTGCCACCTGTCTCATCTTGCCTAGATGGGCATCCAGTTCAGGAGTGGAAGCTTGTCTTCCCTTTTTGCTGGCACCTCCATTTCTACTAATGATTCTTTTGAATCTTTCTTACTGGTCATTTTCAGGGGAAAGGAGGAAAGTAACCCACTCTCCTTTATCAGCGGGAAGGGAGAATACAGAATTCCTCTCAATTCTGAGGATACTCTCAGAGTATCCTCTGTCTCTTGGCACTCTCTGTATATGGGTTTGGTGCTAGCTCTCTCCTGGGAGACAACCACTGAAGGCAGTGCTCTTCAGATTTGAGAGCTGTTGAACATTCTTTTTGCCTCAGATTTTGACTTTGGCCACCAGTTGGTGGCCGCACAGAAAGTCCCATTTAACATCTTGATACATTATTTATACAGAACAGCTCTGCAGACCTCTATTTTGAAGGAAATATTCATCAATCTCTGCAGAACATCCCCGAAAACCAGCTGGTACAACCTGCTCTTCTCCAGCAAAAGGGAGGAAAAGGTATGTGGATATATCACTCCTTGCAAAAGAACCAAGTTTTTATCAAAGTAGCGTTTGGGGAATTTCATATCTGAGTTTGGAGATGACTTGCAAAATGTTCTTTTCTCACAACTGAGAATAACTTAACTCTGACAGACAAAACACTCCAAGCTGTTTATTTTGAATGAGCTTTCCTTTTGCTTCATAGAGATGTTGTGAAGGTGCAAAGTGTCATTCCCTCAAATAAATCTGTGTTCAACTATAGGGTGTAAGGAGATTTCCCTGGGGGTTCAGTTCTTAAGATTGTGGTCTCGATGCAGGGCTCACGGGTTCGATCCCTGATCAAGTAGCTGAGATCCCGCATGCCATCCAGTGTGGCCTAAACTAAAAGAATAGGATGTAAGATATGGAGAACAAGCTAGTGGTTACCAGTGCGGGGAAGGGGTATATAAAGGTAGGGAATTAAGACATTATTATGTATAAAGTAAGATACAAGGTTACATTCTACAACACAGAGAATATAACCAATATTTTATAATAGCTTTAATTGGCATATAGCCTTTAAAAATGGTTAATCATTATATTGTACACCTATAACTTAAATAATATTATACATCTTCTATACTTCAATTAAAAAAAAAGAATAAGGTATATAAATTTTAGGTATAGAAGGGATAAGTTCTCCATAAATTGTCTTAGCAATCTTATTCCAATTGTGAAGCCCTAGGGATAGATATCATCTTCTCTATTAAGTTTTCCACAGAAAACAAGTTCCATATTAATAACTTTATTTCATAAATTTGAAGTCCTGATTTCATAAATTGAAGATGATCTCATCTAACAGGTAAGCAAAAAGTGTTAAAGTAGGATAATAACTTGTGTTGGCCAAGATGTGGGCCTCACACACTCACATGCGTTATTTTTTTTTTTCACATGCATTATTAAAGGGGGTATAAACTGGTACAGTTTTGTAAAGCAATTTAGCAATACCTGCAAAAATTTTAAATGTTCCTATCTTTCGATTCTTAGTGACTCTATGACTCAATGGTTGAGTGTGAAGTCTGAGTTAATTATGTGAGCCTGGCCAAATCATTTAACCTTCTGTACCGCAGTATTCTTATTCAAAAAATAAAGAGCAAATAATAATAATTGTACACACATTGTAAGATTGCTGTAAAAATTAAGTTAGAAAACCCACATAAATCACTATGCTTATGGTCTAGTACTATAGATATTTCCTCAAATACCTTAGATGCATATGTGTACATATGTACATAAATATGTATTAGGATGTTCCTTGCAATGTTGTTTGTGATAGTATACACCTACTAAATACAAAGACATGTAAGATGCATCACAACTTTATACTGCAATTTAAAAAATCATACCTTAAAAAAAATACCTTATCATAGCTAAAATTATTTTGTTTTTTAAATTTATATTTTTTATTTTTTAATTGAGGTGTAGTTGATTTATATTATATTAGTTTCAGGTTTACAACACACTGAATCAAAATTTTTATAGATTATACTCCATTTAAAGTTATTATAAAATATAGGCCGTATTCCTTGTACTGCATAATATATCCTTGTAACTTATTTTATACATAATAGTTTGTACCTCTTGATTCTCTGTCCTAATCTTGCTCCTCCCTCCTTCCCTCTCCCCACTGGTAACCACTAGTTTATTCTCTATATCTGTGAATCTGTTTCTATTTTGCTATATTCTTTTGTTAATTTTTAAACTTTTAAATTTTTTTTAGATTTCACATATAAGTGATAACATACAGTATTTGTCTTTCTCTGTCTGACTTTTCATTTTATCATAATACCCGCTAGGTCCATCTACTTTGTTGCGAATGGCAAAATTTTATTTTATTTTTTTATGGATGAGTTATATTCAAATGTATGTATATATACATCTTCTTTATCCATTCATCTGTTTATTCACACTTAGGTTACATCCGTATCTTGGCTATTATAAATAATGCTGCTATGAACTTTGGGATGCATGTATCTTCAAATTAGTGTTTTCATTTTCTTTGGATATACACCCAGGAGTGGGATTGCTGGGTCATATAGTGGTTCTTTTTTTTCCTTTTGGCCACTCCATATGGCATGTGGGATCTTAGTTCCCCAACAAGGGATGGAACCTGAGCCCCCTACATTGGAAGCACAGAGTCTTAACCACTGGACCGCCAGGGGAGTCACTGATAGTTCTATTTTAAGCTTGTTGAAGAACCTCCACACTGTTTTGCACATGGCTTTGCCAATGTGCATTCCCACCAACAGTGCATAAGTGCTCTTTTTTCTCCACATTCTTGCCAACACGTGTTATTTGTGGTCTTTTTAAAAATTATTATTATTGTTTACGTATTTGGCTGTGCCAGGTCTTAGCTGCAGCATGTGGGGTCTAGTTCCCTGACCAGGGATCATACCTGGGCCCCCTGCATTGGAAGAGCAGAGTCTTAGCCTCTGAACCACCAGGGGAGTCCCATTTGTCTTTTTGATGATAGCCATTCTGATAGGGTGAGATGATATTCATTGTGATTCTGATTTGCATTTCTCTAATCAGTATCAACGTTGAGTATAAGAAGATTTTTATGTGCCTGTTGGGGCCATTTGTATGTCTTTGGAAAAATGTCTATTCAGGTCTTCTGCCCATTTTCTTAATGGGATTGTTTATTTTTTGATATGGAGTTGCTTGAGCTATTTACATATTTTGGATATTAATCATTTATTCATATCATTTGCAAATATTTTCTCCCATTCAGTAGATTATCTTTTTGTTTTGTTGATGGTTTCCTTTGCTGTGCAAAAGCTTTTGAGTTTAATTAGGTCTCATTTGTTTATTTTTGTTCTTGTTTTCTTTGCCTTAAGAGATAGATAAAAATATATATATATTTCTATACATTTTGTCAAAGAACATTCTTCCTATGTTTTCTTCTAGGAGTTTAATGGTTTCTGGTCTTACATTTAAGTCTTTAGTCCATTTTGAGTTTATTTTTGTAAATCTATGAGAAAATGTTCTAATTTTATTCTTTTACATGTTCATACTTAAAATTATTTTAAATGAATATTTTTTGAGATAACTAGTTTTGTTCCCTTAAAACAGTATACTATATTCTAGAATTATAAAATCTTACTATGCAGTAATACTCTAATCCAGAAAGGAATAATGTAAAATATCACATAAGTAAAGTAAATCTACTGACTATTACTACTAAATATTGAATAATGGTAGTAATTTAGTATTAGGACAATAATGCTTCTACCTCCGTCACATTTTTTTTTTTTTTTTTTTTTAGCAAACTTCTTTTCACTGATGTTTTGGATCTTTGCAATTAGGGAAAATATAATTTACTATTTTCTGTTTTTAGAGTTGTCACCCACCTGAAGCAGTGATACATTTGAAACAATGAAATTTCTAAATACTTCAAGAATTCATTATTGGGAGACTGAGCGACTTCACTTTCTTTCTTTCTATAGTTCATTTTGCAGAAGGAAATGGCAACCTACTCCAGGGTCCAGTGGAAAATCCCACGGACAGAGGAGCCTGGTGGGGCTGCAGTCTATGGGGTTGCAAAGAGTCGGACATGACTAAGCAACTAATACACACACACACAAACAGAACATATGTAATTATTAAAATGCAAAGGGGTATACTTTAAGTGTTGAAGCAGAATGAGCTCTGAATACCATTTTGGTTTTGGTTTTAATCCTTTGTAATTCCATAACTCAATAGTAATAATGCTGATGAAAATTTCAGATGATTCAGAAGTATGTGAAGAATGAGTGAAAAAATGTTCTTTCTTCCCATGCTATCCCCCAGAAGTAACTGTTGTCAACGCTTTAGTATTTCCTCTATCTATAGCTAGTCTCTATATGGCTCAATGATTTATTTAAGATATATTATACACTGGAAAAAGTACAAAATACTATACTAATTTTCACTTTTAAAGGATTAAGTATTAGTTGTTGGCTGTGTCTGACTCTTTGCAACCCCATAGACTATAGCCCGCCAGATTCCTCTGTCCGTGGGTTTTCAGGCAAGAATCCTGGAGTGTGTTGCCATGCCCTTCTCCAATATGCATATGATTATATATGCAAAAAATAAATTATTTTCTAGAGATGCAGACTAGATTGGAATTTTTACTTTCAGTTTGTGCTTCTGTTTGGATTTTTTTTTATCATATACCTTTATCTTCAACGTAAAAGTTCAAACATCTTTTTTTTTTCAAAATTGAAAACAAACTTTAAAAGATGAGGATCCATTATAATTGATTTGACCATTGGATGAGAGCCAGAGAGCTTGTTTAAGTCTGTGACTTTAATTCATAATGTGTTTTTTGGTAAGTCCCTTTCATTTCTCAATTCATAAACTCAAGATAATAAAACACAAAAGATAATCTTTGAGGCTTTTGGATGAATGATGACCGATGTATGAGTATTACACCCCAGAGACTATTTAAAGCAGTTTGGGAATCCACTCTTCTACTTTCTCAAGAGGAAAATGGAATTTGGCTGTGGAACTTTTCGCTACTGACAGATCTGGTGGGACATGGTGTTTATAGGCCAATCCAGAAGTCATAAAATGGGTTGTCGCCTTTGTTCTCCAATCGACCAAACAAGCAAAAATCACAGCAAATCTTCTCAAAGTTTCCTTTCTAGTTACTCTGAAATATAAAGGGCTGTGTTCCTAAAGAGATTAAAAACTCTGGCAGTACCATTTTATTCACAGCAATGAAAAACATCACAATGCTCGTTGTTGTTCCTCATTAATAATGTCAGAATGTTATGAAGATATTTTGGCATTTCAACTTCGCTTTTTTTCTTTTTTTTTTTCAAGTAATTATGCAGAACCAGAGTTAGCATTTTTACATAAGTCTATTATTGATTTCACTTGTATTTGCACATTGCTTTACATTTCACAAAATGCATTCACCTTCTTTACCTCATTTGATTTAACTTACTTGAATAAAGCTGCTTCAAGTGAGTTGCCTTTTGGAAATGTCTTTTGAGACTTCTTTTAAAAAACAACAAATATTTGTCTGTGTTGGGTGTTAGTTGCTCTGTGGCAAGTGGGATCTTAGTTCCCTGACCAGGGATCAAACCCACATCCCCTGCATTGAAAGGCAGATTGAAAGGTGGTTTAGGTCTTAACCACCAGACCACTGAGGAAATCCTGAAACTTGTCTTCAGAACCACTAAACTTTGTAGTACATTTTGCTCAGTCCTGTCCTGTAGACAGTTTAACATAAAACTAGAAGTCAAGATTTAACTGGAAAGAAAGGCCACGTGACAGATGAGAGACTGGGGTAAAGCGGCTCCGTGCTTCCCTTTTCCAATGAGGGACTACAAAATTTTGGACAACTTCCCCAACAAAGAAAGTTTCATTTGAAACTGCAATAAGCCAAGTCCCATAAAATGATACCATAAATACATTCTATGAGAAAGAATAGGAGGAAAACCAGTCCCAATGGACTTTCAATTCTGTATTCACTCAACAAATCCTTCGTGAGGAGGTGCTCCGTGGAGGGCCATGGTGAAGTGTGACACTGTTTTCCTCTGTTTTAGGCAGGAAGAAGCTCCGACTGTTTGAATATCTTCACGAATCCCTGTGTAATCCAGAGATGGCATCTTGTATTCAGTGGATAGATCAAACCAAAGGCATCTTTCAGTTTGTATCAAAAAACAAAGAAAAACTCGCCCAACTCTGGGGAAAAAGAAAAGGCAACCGGAAGACCATGACTTACCAGAAAATGGCCAGAGCACTGAGGAATTATGGAAGAACTGGGGAAATCATCAAAATCCGGAGAAAGCTAACTTACCAGTTCAGTGAGGCCATTCTCCAAAGACTGTCTGCACCTTATTTCTTGGAAAAAGAGATCTTCTATTCACAGTATGTTCAACCTGATCAAGGATATCTCAGTTTAAATAACTGGAATGCTAATTATAATTATACATATGCCAATTACTATGAGCTAAGTCACCCTGATTGCTAAATATACTCTTACATTTCATAATTTTCTGACATCAGAAGTCCCTACAAGTTTTAAGATTTTTCTCTAAAAGCAAATACTGAAAAAGAAAAACTTCATGATTGCTATCTTTTATGACATAACATATAATCTATACTAACTTGGTGAGAAATTTTACCAGTGAACAGCTCTTTAGAATGATTGTCCCATTTGAAAGTATAGACTAAATGTCCTTCCTCTTACAAGTAACTATGCAATTATTTCTTTCTAGATTAATAATACCAGTGGAGACTATTTGATTCACACATTGGTTAAACATTATTTTCTTGTCATACACTCAGACCAAAAAAAAAAAAATAACTTTGGCATATATCCAATAGTTTTAGCAACGGAACAAAAACATTGCCTGTGATGGTGTTCCTGCTAAATTATATTCAGGGTTTTAAAATTTTCAGTGGCTAAAACTAGAACTATTATATGATCCATCAAGTCCACTCATGGGTATATAGCCAAAGAAAATGAAAACACTAATTAAAAAAGATACAAACATCTCAATATTCAAAGCAGCATTTTATTTTATTTTTTTTGCTGCACTATGGCTTGTCAGATATCAGTTTCCCAACCGGGCCTTTGCAGTGACAATGCCAAATCCTAACCACTAGACTACCAGGGAACTCTCATAGTGACATTATTTACAATAGCCAGGATACGGAAGCAACCTTCTAGCTGACAGGTGAATAAAGAGAATATGGTGTATATATATACACACACACACACACACACACATACACATAGAATATATATACACACTCAGCCAAAAAGTGAAATCTTGCCATTTGCAACATGGATGGATCTTAAAGACAAATACTATACGTTATCATTTATACGTAGAATCTAAAAATTGAAACAAAATGAAGTAGAAACAGACTTAAAGAGAACAAATTAGTTACCAGTAGGGGGAGGGTTGGGGGGAGGGGAGCAAGATAGACATAGAGGATTAAGAGGTACAGACTACTAAAATATAAGATAAAAAAGATACAAGAATGTAATGTACAGCACAGGGAATGTAGCCAACATTTTATAATAGCTTTGAATAGAGTATAACCTAGAAAAATATTGAATCACTGTGTAGTACATCTGAAACTAATATAATATTGTAAATCAACTATATTTCTATAAAATAAATAAAGATTTAAAAATAAAAACTTCAGTGGCTATCCTCTGCACCTCGGACCTCATGGTCTGCAATCCTTCGGCACTAAAGAAATGATGGTCTAAGGAAAATGCCACCTACAAACTCCAAAGCTTACACTTAGCACAAATCATTTCCTTGCTTTTCTCTCTCGCTTCGGGGAGATCCAGGAGCTAAAGTTTCTTGGTCTCCTGCCACTCAACCACAGGGAGGTGCTCTTGCACCATTAGTTCTCGAGCCCAACCCTGGCTCATGATCTCTTTCCTTGAACTGGCCCAGCTGAAAACAGTTGAAGCGGGAGGGTGGGGGGAAGGCTTTAATAAAAGAGGGAGGCTTGCAAATAATAAACCCAGGAGTGGAGCCAGGATGTGGGCAGTCTGGCATGGACGCTGTCCCATAAGAAACTCCCAGAATAAACTGTTTCTTACTTGCCGCTTGGCAGGTTTTTTAAGTCACTTCAGTCGTGTCCGACTCTTTGTGACCCTATGGACTGTAGCCTGCCAGGCTCCTCTGTCCATGGGATTCTCCAGGCAAGAATACTTGGGGCGGGGGGAGGGGGGTTGCCATGTCCTCCTCCAGGGGATCTTTCCAGGTTCTTTACCACTCCCGCCATCTGGGAAGCCATCTGTATCACCATGAAGCAAGAGAGCATCCTAGATTAAATGGGCCATCTTCAGTCTGGGCCAAGAAGCCCTGGCCAGCAGGTCAAGAGCTCCTGGGAGCTTACTGCATTGGGTTTGCAGCTCTGCTGTGACCCTATCGTGGTTAGTACTCTGCATTGTGGCTGGCATTCCCAGTTTCCCCGTTTCCTTTGTGCCCTCCTGGGGCCCTTTCTTCCTCAGGAAAAGAACATGGTAGATCCCAAGTGACTAAATGGACACTAACTCAATATTGGCCATACCCACATGTAGTGGGTTTGTTACAGACAACCTTGTGTCTTCCAACATCCATGTTGAAACGTAATCCCCATTGTGGTGGTGTTTGGGGGTAGGGTTTTGCAGAGGTGATTAGGTCATGAAGGAAATCTCTAATGAATGGGTTTAGTGCCCTCATAAAAGAGATGACAGAGAGTTCCCTTTCTCCTTCCACCCTGAGAGGATACGAGGGTGAACCAGGAGGCAAGCCCTCAGTAGGCACTAAATCTGCCAGCACCTTGATGTTGGACTTCCCAGCTTCCTGAACTGTGAGAAATAAAGTCCTGTTGTTTATCAGCCACCCAGTTTATAGTATTCTGTTAGAGCAGCCAGGACAGACGGAGGAAGTTCCCATTAGTGCTAACGTCAAGGTAGGACTCAGCATTTCCACTCCGTCTGCCTTTCTAATTTGGATGTGGATGGATTTTAAGTGCAGGGGGTACACAAAAGAAAGGACTGCAACACAAAAAGGGGGTGTGTGTTCTTTGTCAGGCAAGGACAGTGAGGCACCCCATGAATATTGGAAATGTTCCACCTCAAGAGTTGTCAAGATTAGCCCTGACTTACCCAGGCCTTGGACTCATCTAGCAAAGAGCTGAAAGTGGAAAAAGAATCCAGAGTGTCCAGGTATTTTCAGTAGTGGGTCACATGATCAGAAATCCCAATGTGGAGGGCCCATGAATGTTTGAATGGTGATCTGATGAGTTCATCATTGGCACCAAAGCAATAGATGTGGTTCAAAATGAGATATTTGCAAACTGTGTTAAGAGCAAAACTTTGCTCGGTGTTTGGACCTGCTGTCAGAAGTTTTATTCTCAGGGGCTGTAGTGAAGATTCAGGCACTAGTGAAGATTCTGTTTGATAAGCAAACCCATCCAGGATGTGTAGTGATGGGTTAACCAACGAAAGGATAGTGAGTTGATGTACCACTATGAACAAACTGTTAAGTTAACAAACTGAATTTCCCATAATGACCATTTCATGATCTGGGTATGAACAGATAATACTTTGCATAACTATGAAAACAGTTCACCCAGATCATGAAATGGTCATTATAGGAAATTCAGTTTGTTAACTTGTAATTTTACATAAGCAGTTATAACAAGTCATGTGACAAAAGATCACATTTATGAGTTTCAAAGTCAGACTGATATCTTTTTTAAAAAACTATTTATTTCTCTGGCTGTGCTAGGTCTTAGTTTGGGCCCTTGGGATCTTTAGTTGCAGCATGAGAACTTAGTTGTGGCATGTGGGATATAGCTCCTGTTAAACCTAAGCCCCTTGCATTGGGAGCATGAAACCTTAGCCACTGGACCGCCATGGAGGTCCTGAGTCAGACTGGTATCTTTTGGAACACTTTGTTTCTTCTAATTAACTCAGTAAAATCAGGGAGATCAGTTGGGATGCGCTGGGCTTCAAATAACAAAAAACCTTGACTCAAACTGGTTTAACATTTGCTATTGACAATACCCTTCTTTCTGGTACTGAATTTTGAAGCAGTAAGCTCCCTTGATTGTCGCTAACTGAAGTCAACTTGGACTCACTGAAGTATCCGCGAGGATTTATTGAAAGGTATAAGATTGCCTGGGGCTTCCCTGATGTCACAGTGGTAACGAATCCGCCTGCAGTGCAGGAGACGTGTTGGATCCCTGGGATGGGAAGATCCCCTGGAGAAGGAAATGGCAACCCGCTCCAGTATTCTTGCCTGAAAAATCCCATGGACAGAGGAGCCTGGGGGGGGCTACAGTCCAAAGTATCACAAAGAGCTGGACATGGCTGAGTGGCTGAGCACGCACACATGCATTAGACTGCTTACGAAATTTATGAGAAGGCTGGAGGACAAGCAGCCAGATATAAAGCCCCAGACCACATCAAAGATCTGGCCAAGTGAGGACCTCATTGTCACCAGAGGCCTCGGCTTACGTCCTCTCGCATGCCACTGAACAGAGCTGGCACAGATCACTCCTGCCCCCAGCAACTGTCTTGCTGCACCTACCACTGCATTCAGAGCTGGTAATCTGCCCTCCCTGCTTCTGTGCATCACTAGATCTGTATCTGAAATCTGGGATGGAAACTTCCGATTGGCTGAAGCTTGGTCATGTGTTCATGTGTGGCTGCAAAGAAAGCTAGAAAAGTGATTATCTGGAACTTTCAATTCTTATACTGGGAGACTGTTTCTCATCCTATTGAGACTCGTTAGGTCAAGAATTCCCCAAACATAGCAAGGGGTTCAGAAAGTGGGCAGCCAAAAGAATGACAAGCGTTCATTAGAATTTTAAACTACAATAACAAGGATCAGAGCATGTATGGTTTGATTTTAAAGACCTTTGCCCTACCTGGCTCATCTCCAAAAACACTCTTTGTTCTTAGTGCTTCTGTGGTCATAGGAATTTAAACAGTTTCTAAACAACTTTCCCTTATCTTTCTGAGAAGCAATTTCAGCATGTTATTTAAGTTCTCTGGGTATCAAGTAAAATTGTGACATATTTCTATAACTGAAGCTGATCTAAGAAATTAAAGCCTATGATTTGTAGCTTTTACAGTATAGGAGGCTTCACTCATATCTGTTTTCCTTTGTTCAGGAAATTCTTAAAATGTTCCAGTTTTATGATTTAGTTTCACTGAGATTGTTTGAAGAGCTCAAAATAACATAATTGGCCAGTTACAAGTATAAAAGATTACTGATATTCTTTTCTCAAGAGCATTTTCTGGTTGCCAGAGCTGACTCTGAGGATGTGAGGAGTATATTGAAAGCGCTCAGGGTTCAGTGATGCTGTAAGACCAGCTTTCAACCAGTGATGGTTGGGCGTTGTTCGATACTTACCTCTGCTTCTTCACCTCTTAGTTGGAATAATGCTAAGATGTGTTCTTAGACTTCCCTATTCCCCTAATGGTGTTTTCTGGAACCACCTCTCAGA